CTGGTTAGCAAGAAAGCACCTTTCTCCTATTGTCTCTCTTTCATTTCTTTAAATGTACTGTAGAAATATGAAAAGCCTCACCAGACAGAAGAGGAGAGTGAGGAAGAAGACATAGAAGATGAAGAGGAAGACACAACCAGTGCTGAATCAGATGAAAGTGAAGAGGAGGAGGAAGAAGAGGAGGAAGAGGAAGTAATTGTCCAAAAGGGAGATAAACAGAATGCCACCAGGCAAGCGCAGCTGGAGTGGGATGATTCAACACTCCCATACTAACAGCCCTGCAGCCATATCACACTTTTGTAACAACCAATACAATGGTTTTTCAGAGTCTATGAATTCATTGACAGGATTTGAACTTCTGCTTGCCTGTTTTGCCTAAAGTGATCTTGTTGTAGTAATTGGTAATGATAGAACAGACCCTTTTCTTACAAAGCCTGGAGAAAACATGGTACAAACCTACTGGCCTACCCAGTAATAATAAAGTAACTAGAACCTGATCTGTTAGCAAACATAGTTCTCATTTCCTATTTCTATACTACAGATATGTGACAAAAGTCCTGTCACTTGACCCATACAGGTTTTTGCCTTTGTTTTTTTTTTTCCACACGAGAGATTTCAGCTTGTTATGAAGAATTGCTTGTATGGGTCTAAATAACAGTTGCCAATTGACTTCACACTCCTACAGGTGTAAAAAATAATCCACCTCCAAATTGGGGCAGGGTTTTAGTGCTACAGGGGACAGAGACTGAATTCCATTTGTTGTCTCATCCTGCCTTCTTGGATTTAACTGTCCCTTACAAGGGAATATCTAGGACCTCACATGGAATGCATGTGTGCCTATGTAGAAGTGGACAGTGTATTTTTTCAGGCATGCTATCAGACCCTCAAGAAGAGGGATTTTTGTCCAACCTACTGACAGAAATTTAAGAGAGTTTAATAAAAACCAGCAAGAAGGGGCTGCTGAAGGTTACAAAAAAAACCCCACAAAGAACCACCCAACTCGTTCTGCATCCACAGATTGAGTAACCCAATCTTATGCAAACTGTAAATTCTAATGGGATTGATTCACTGAAAATCTGTAGAGCTGCTCATTAGTTATGGATTGAGCAATTTGCAGCAAATCGATGCTTTAAACTGTCTGTCCCGTAAAATCATTAGCTTGCTGCAGCATCACACGGAAGTGGTGGAAAATAAGTGACCCCATTACTCCATAGCTATGTATGGCTGGGATTTAAACAATTATTTTAGATGAGGAAAATGTTCCCTTCTGTTTAGTGAATGCCAGCTGGAATTCCTGTCTGACTACAAAACATTATGCCCTATTTCTTCTGTACCCCTGCCCACCTATAGTGGCACAAAAGAAAGGAACAACATACACAACTGTCAGCTCTCTTTTGTGCTCGTAATTCTCCCTTATTTCTTCTTCCTGAAGCCATTTATGTTGAGAAAAGGTTTTATAAAGTAGAACAAGGAAAAATAAAACCTACCTGGAACCAAAATAATTGAAAACAAAAACTAAACTCTTAAGAGGTTGAGAGAGTATTTTAGTTTGTTATGGTAACACAGCATATTTTTCTTAAACACTGTTTAAAAAGTTTAAAAAAAAAAAAAAGCAAAGCTATGTACAATGTGTTAATAAGTCTGTGTGGTGTGGTTTTTGTCCCCTTTCCATAAGTACCTTTACATCTTCAACTGCTCTGCATCCCAAATGCTGCAGCACTTGCTAGGAAAACTACTCTAATGCATAAAAACAAAATGGCATGGAAGAGAATGCTGCTTAGTGGCTTGTCTGTTAGGTTTTTTTTTTTCCCCTAAACACTTCATTTAGAATTTCATCATTGACTTTTGCTTTTGTAATTTGCTGTTTAAAATTAGCTGCTTCCTCTGCTCTTCTCCCCCACAGAAACAAGCAATCTTAACACAACAGGACCTTCCCGAGCACCCCTGAGTGGTAGTTGGTGTTGCAAAGAGTAAATGGAGCAATCTTTGGGATATCCATCCCCCTTAATATTAAATTATCAGCAGCTCCTGAATATCTTGGAATATAGAGAATATATTGTGGGTTTGGGAGTTCTTTTAGTTCCAGTTTCTGCATCTGGTAGTTGAAGGGAAATACTGACAGCAACTAGACCTTGTAGTTTAATAACTAGAAAGTAAATGAAAAGACTCTATGTTAAGTTTAAAATTAGAGATCTTCAATGCTTTTATTTGTTGTGCCAACAATCATGTTGTCACATGACTGTTAAGACTGGCAATACAGGAGTTTTCTTGTGTTAGCAGTCCTGTTTCATTTTTATTCTCTCACATGTATTAAACTTAGAAGAATATTTGCAGAATCAAGCCCACATAAATGCAATTTATCTGCAGAAATGACAATTCTAAAAATGTCCAAAATTCCTGTTTAATAAAAAATTAGTATTAATATTTCTGAATATCCTGAACTAAAATTTTATGTTAGATCATTTCCTAGCATCCTACTACCCTAAATCCTTTCCTTGTGTTAATTTTTGTTAGTGACATGAAGCAGGCTCTTTGTGGTGCTTGTTATCAGTGCATATCAGCAAATCTTTCTGCTCAGAAAAAAATAAATATTTAAAATTAAAAGTAGATATTTAAAAGTGAATTTCAGATTTAAAAATGGATTTAAATTATTTTTAAGTTTCTGTTATTCCTGATTATTATTGTTATTATTGTGGTTTTTTTTAACATGGCAAGCCTTAGGGCAACTTGAAAACAGCAATTTACAACCTTAATGACAGCCTTTAATTCTTTTATGTTTGTGAATTCATCAGTGTGTTTCTCCATCTAATAGATTTTTATCTTTTTGTTACTAGAAGCAAATCTTTTCAGGTTGTACTCATACATTACACAAGAAGCAAAGTATTTTCTCTACTGTAAATAAACCTACATTTTTAAATCTAAGCAAAGTAATAAGGCATGTGTGTTATCACTAAAATTTGGTTTGCAATAAGATATTCAGCAAACTAAAATGTTTCACTGTACTTATTTTAGATTACTCATTGGAGTGCATTATGCAGCTTTTTCATTCAAATAAACAGAAAAATCCTTTTCACAAAATATTAGTGAGAATGAGATACTTGTTCACAAAATAAACCCTAGAATATTTGTATAGCACTGACAGCAATGGATTCCCAAGCCTACTTACTTATAGAAAATCAGAAAAATATCACTTTTTCTAAAACAATTTTAACAATATTTCCTCCCCTCCACGAATTATTTTTTGATGTAAACTACTTGTTAAAAAAAACAAAAACAAACAACAAAAAAACCAGAGGACATACACATATGTGTGCACACATACACACACGTGGGATTTTTTTCCCCTAATCAAAAGCCAAAAGTCTCTCCCTTCCTCTCTAGAAGAAGTGAATGATTGAGGTTGGAAAAGACCTCTAAGATCATTAAGCCCAATCATTAACCTGACACTGCCAAGCCCACCACTAACCCATGTCCCCAAGTACCACATTTGCACATCTTTTAAAGCCCCCCAGGGGTGGTGACTCCACCACTGCCCTGAACAGCCCGTTCCAACGTCTGACAACACTTTCAATGAGGAAATTTTCCCTAATATCCAATCTAAACCTCCCTGGCACAACTTGAGGCTTTTTCCCCTTGTCCTGTGACTTGTTACCTGGGAGAAGAGACCGACCCCCACCTGGCTTTAAACTCCAGTCAGGTGGTTATAGAGAGCAAGAAGGTCCTCCCTGAGCCTCCTTTTCTCCAGGCTAAACATCCCCAGCTCCCTCAGCTGCTCCTCATCAGACTTGTGCTCCAGACCCTTCGCCAGCTCCATTGCCTTCTGTGGGCTCACTCCAGCACCTCAGTGTCACGAGGTACATATTTTTACAGTAGCAATAAACAAGTGTATCCAAAGAAAACATTTCTGAAGAGGTACCCATAATACAGGAATCCATGACAGCACAGGTCTAAAATGACATCACATCAGTGATGCCTTTAAATCTTTAAAATTCTAATTTAAGGCTGGGAAAAGCTGCAAAACCTACAAATGCAAATTCCAGATGGTGATATACGATGTTATCTGAATTAATATAACTGCCTAAGTGGCCATTTGTGATTAATAACTCTCATTTTTTTTTTTCACTTCTACTCCCTCTATGGGTGTTTTATCTTTGCAAGTAAACCTTAAAATGCACAGTTGTCGAGGTTAATCTTAGTATTTACTGCAGTGGCTGACATCAGTTCAAATCAGAAATAGACATGTAGGGTTCTTGACATGTTTAGTACTAATTAATAGCAACAGTTTATTTTAATTAGTACTGTTCATTCAAACAGGTAATAATATCCTGTAGTGGTGGCATGACTGCTTTTTACCTGGTGGTGATCTCCCTTGCCAAGGGCTAATGGGAAGGAGCAGGTAGTTTCCATTTCTGGTATGTTGTGGTGCTGAGCTTGCTGAGCACCTGTGCACCATCCTTACTTCATTCTGGAAGAAAATAAGATTTAGAAAGGATCAGAGGGTTATAAATTTCCTCCTGTGGGGATGAAATCCACTGTCTCCATTGCAGGAGCTGTCCCTGCCTGACCTTAAACTGAAAATAATGGCATTGGAGATCATTAGCCCCAGGTGAAGGACTGGTCAGAGGGTAATGCAGCAGCAGCCCTTAGTTCTCGTTGGCAAAGCCTTTTGAGCCCTGCACCTATTTTGTGTCTCAGCTGTCTCTTTCCCTGACCTGTAGCCTCAGAGGCAGCTTTAATTTTTTACCTGGTAGGGATCCCAGCACTTTGGAAACAACACTTCCTCCTCTGAAAGTTTTGGTGCCAGCACACACAGCACTCCAACTCCAACCCTCCAGGCTTAGCAGAACAGGGGAATGGAAGACTGTACTGGAGTGACAGCAGGTAAAGGTCCGGTGGGACTGAGCTGCTCCTGGCATCCTGGAATACAGATTGGAATACAAAGTTAAGGATGTTTGCAAAAACATATGATACTTAGTTTTATGTCCTCTCCCTCTCTAAGTACATCTCCAGGGCTTCTTCCTTTTTCCTTAATTCACACATGCTGACTATGTGAAAGAATGAATAGCTTAAAACCTGATATCCCTGATATCTCAGGGATATCCCCCTTAGACTGGAGATATCCTGGTATCATCAAGTTCTGCCCTGATAAAATTACTGAATAAAAATAGTGAAAATATTTGGGGGAACCTGAATGTGCAGTAGACTCATCTAGATGTTTCACTTTTGACCACAAGTCTTGGGATTAAAGCATCTCTGGTTGATCCCTGTAGCTGCTGACCTTTAGTGAACAACTGCTTAAAGTTCTCCTTCAGCAGTTGGGCAGATCTAAGGAGACAGGAGAAAAAACCCCAAGCAAACAACAAAAAACCAATATTAAAAAGATTGTCAAAGACAGCAGAAATAAAACCACCTTTTAAATCACTAAACTTATTCCTATTAATTGTGCATGATGCTGTGCTGTATAAATATAATCTTCCTCAAGCTTCAGCCAGTATCACCAAACACACAATAACGTTAGGTTTTTCCCTCCTCAGGGAGAATGACAGGCTTTGTTCATGCCACAGCCTCATTGCCACAGTCTGCAAACCTCCCAGTGTAGAAGTGCCACTGCAAATAGCGTAAGAGTCACAGCTGCCCTGTCCCTCAGAGATCATGGTGTTCCCACAGAAACCAGCACTCCCATGCTTATGTCCAAACCATGCAACACTTTGTAATAGAAAATAAATACTTTTTACAGCACTCAGAAGCAAATAGTGATCCTGTAAGATTCTTGTACATTTGGGTCAAATGTTTTTTAAAAAATTGAGAAAGACATAACAAGCAGTTTGGGGAGTGGTGTAAACTGGAATGTATCAGGTTCCCTAATGCTGCACGTTTCAGATTTCCACTGAAGAAGATGTCAGTCTCAGATGAACCAATGAAAGATTGTGTATCCAGTGATCAGACTTTGCTTCAGCTCTAGGTTGTTAGTCTCTCCTAGAATCCAGCTGTTTTTTTTTAGTATGGAGAATAAAGACACAAAGAATAAAGATGACCACTAAATTACAGCAGAGCAAAACTCGTACTCTCTTAACACACTGAATCTCAATAAATATTTCTGCTAAATATATAAGGAAAATTACTCCAGTGATATCTCAGGAAGTAATTATACTTCATTACCTTTGTAGGAGTAGCAAGGTTCAAGCCTGGTATAGTTTGTTTTTATTTTTCCCTAAAAAAGACATAATCATAAAATAAAAACCAAAATCCTTGAACAGCACAAAAGTGAAAGGGGAATAACATCTTTAATTTCATAAACCTCTGTCTAACCAAGGGGTTTAAAACAATAAACAATTCTAGTCCACATTGTTGAAGCTCAGCAGAATAAAATGAATCCAGAAGGTTTTGTATGTTCATAACTTCATTCCTGGTGATGAAAAGGCAGATACCAGATCAGGTAACCTTTTTCCCTAGAGGCATTTTGCTGCCTTTTGAGTAGGTATCAACAGTGGTTCGGTATTTACAGTTTCCATGTCTCTGCTGGCAAATAGGAATAGTGATCCTGACATCTTTCACAAAGCATTGTGAGCCCTGTGGATAAAAAGCATCATCAAAGAGCTTGGTGGTGTTATGGTTCAATAATTCTCTTGCAGCTCTGCTTATAGCCCTCATTGTGGAGCAAGTGCCAAAGGAATGACACAATGGTTACAGTCAAGAACTTTGGGTTGGGGCTTCATTAGTTATTGCCTGTAAAGAAACACTCTCAATAGCATGAAGCACTACAATCATTAAAACAGTGTTCAGGAAAAGCCCTCATTCCTATTTTTAGCACTAACTGGTGGGGAAATTGTGCATTCATCAGCTGTTGAAGCTACATGGCCGAGTATTGTCACTATTTATATCTGCTCTGAAAACAAAGAAGCAGGAGGATTTTTTTCCCAGCTAAGTACATTGTGCAGTAAAAGAGTTCAGCTTTCCCTAGGCAAGGTGCATAAAGCCTGCCAGACGCGGAGAGAAGCTGTCTCCAAATAGGGAACAAAGGTTTTACAACCATATTCTATCCTCATACTTTAGAAACCCAGTAAATTTCATGGGAGTAAAAAGGTTTTCTGCAGCCCTACCTGTTCTTTTTGTATAAATCTGGATACAGTTTTGGGTTTTCAGAGGTGTGTAACTTCCTGATTGGATATAAAGTTCTTTCAAGTGTCTTTAGAGGTATTAAGCCATAAATCTATTTTTGGCTGAAGATTTCAGGATATCCTAAGGGAAAAAAAAATTAAAATTACAATATTTTTTTTTAGTTTCTACTGCTGCCTCCCCTAAATATATAAACAGATACAAAAGATTTGATCAGACAACGCTGACCAAATCTGTGACTACCATGACATTCCAAATCAGTACTGAAATTGGCAGTAAATTCTTGTCTACAATCTGCTTAACGTGCACACATAAAGATGAGAAGGTAGATGGTTGTTTTAGCTGGGTAGGTTCTTTGGAATGTGGAATGGACCAGTTCTTTTATAAAATTGAGTTATTATTTAGGTAGGAGTGAACAGGAAGGTAGAAGATAATACTGCATGAATAATAGAAAGAGTTAAATTTGATGTGAAAAAAGGTGGAATTTAATCTTGTAGAAAAAAAGAGACATTAAAAGCATGAGTATCAAATGGTAAGCAAATGAAAACATGCTGTTTTCATGTCCAGAACTACAGCTATCAGAATGAACAAGAAAGAGAATGAATATGGGATGTTGAAGGGTTCTGAGATGACATACATGTGTATGCACACACACACGTGTGTATACATATATGTATAAAAAAAAAAATCACCTACTTAATCACACCATGGAGGTGGTGGTTGTGGTAACAAACTAGAACCTCCAGGTATTTAGCATGGTTGATATTGTCTCTAGTTACAGTTACATTACCTCCAGCAGAGCTGGGGAGGGAGCAAGACTGGGAGAGATGTTGCTACACTGTGCGTACATTAAAGTAGGAAATTTTAGGGCCAAGGAAGGCCCATGGGAGTTTGGGGCAAAACATTCTGTCTGCTGTGACTCAAATTCAAGGGTACAGTTACGACACGTTTTAATTTGAAGTAAGCAGTGGAGCTTTTGGACACAGACAACTGTGTTGATTAGTTTTAGAGATTTTCTACAACCAACATACTCTGTAGGCTTGATAGAGAACTGGGGACACCCAAGACAGACTACACTACGTATTGTGAAGGCCCTTAAATAAACTTTTTGTGCTGATACAATCTCCTAAGTGGCCACATAGTTAAGACTCTTGATTTTTGAAAATATACATAATACAAAAAGATTTCAAGGGTAACGATCATCCCGAACAAATTCGAGAGCTGAAGTTATTACCTTCATTCTCAGAATCAGCTGTTGGCACCTTTATTGGCTTCTCCACAAACTGATCTAAAAATGTGAGGTGCATCTGAAAAGAGATGAGAGTTTTCAATATTCTGTTACAAATAGTGCACCACCAGAATCTTGAGTAAATTCCTGATTGTGGTTAACAGGCAGTTCTGAACAAAGGGTCCTCACAACAGGGATGGAAAGATATAACATGGTGGGTTATTGCTTTGCAGAGTAATACACAGTATGGTTAGGCTTCCTAAGAACTGTTTCATCTAAATTTCAGTGTGTTTAGAAGTTGCTTCTAGACTCATAAAATCCTAGAAATAGGGATTAGTAGGCAGAAAAAGTAGTATAGGTAGAGTATTATGCTAACAGTGCAGAATTGTTCCTAGAATATATTTTCTAGTGTTAGGAGTGGGGGTGCTTCAACCTACTTAAATGTTTTTAGGCCTGAGGCTTCTACTGCTTCCCTTAGGAGATTGTTCTAGAGTCTATTAGAATTCACCACTAGAAAGCTTTTCCTGAAAATGAATTTAAATAATCCTTTTTGTAATTTTTATCTCATTAGTCCCAGTTATACCCTTTTGCACCACTCTAAATAATTCCTCTAACCATGATTTATATCCTTTGAATATTTTTAGATAGTTATCAAGTTCATTGCCTTTGCTCATTTATTAGAGATGCTGTGAATCCCTCCTTGTCCCAGTTCATTCCTTCAGTCTCATATTTCTTACCTTTTCATGAAACATCATTAATACAAAAACTAAGCCCTTGGAATTTCCTTACATTAGTCACGGTCAGTTCACTCTGTTAAGTGCTCTGTGTTGGTGTGTGTCACTGGTTGTCAAAGGTTAAACAATAAATTGAAACTTGATTTTTTAAAAAAATCTTTTCTGTAATCTATGGATAAGTTCTCATTATATGAATTTGGCAGTGTCTTTTATATCGGCATGATTTGACAAAGCCAACCAATAAATGCTGGAGCCAACCAAACAATAATACAAAGTTGTAATTTGTTAAAAATGAGATTGCTATCATTATTGTAAAACCAGACAGTGTCATTCAAGTGCCCATGCTTTTAAGTCTCCCTACACTAAACTATCATGAATACGTTCATTTAAGACAGATTGTGTTGCTTCTCCTCAAATCTCATTGGTAGAATGCACCTGCTTTCTAAAACAAGTACTCAAGATTTCCAGCCATGTGCTAACTGCTGCAAAGAAATAGAATTGTGCCAGCTCTTCTGATTACTGCCAAGCATTATATTGCAAATTTGTGATGCATTTATGGTCTCTGACTGGCATGATGACTAGATGGTTCATTTGCAAGCATGCCTCAAGCAAACCTCTGTTCTCTGGCTCAGAACCCTGATCACTCAGGCAAGCAGGAAGGATGTACACAGTCAGCTTGGGTCTTTTAATTGATCTGTTTCCTCCTTCTGCTCCTGCCTTGTGCACCTGGAAGCCAACCCAAAACTGAAATCCTTGTGCTCAAAGACCCACTGCATCACTAAGACCCGAGGGAAATAAAACCATTGTCCTCATTTGCTCTGTCTACAAGGGCTGGTGTGAAAGGGAGAGCAGGAACACAAAGGCTTCCAGTGGGGACTTTGGGGAACTCTACACTTCCCTCAGCACATCTTTGTCCCCAGTAGGTGTCAATCAGCATTGTGCAAACTATATTGTAGGAAGAGATAAATTGCCATCTTCTTGGTCACTTGCCACTTCTCTGCTCACCTTTCCAAAACGAGCCATTGCTCAAAGAGTAACCGAAGTCTAATAGACTTAGTGGGAAGATGAATGAGCCTTGTAAGGTGAGGAGGCTGCAACAAAAAGGGAGAGAGAAAAGAAGAGTAATTCCTGAGCAAGGAACTGTAAAACATGACTTAAAATGTGAGGAGCAGCAGAGCAGGAATCAGACATTCACCCTGAGTATTGCTGCAGTTTGGTGAAAGGGGTTGTTCTAATTAAAATTAACCATATAGTTATTAAAACTTTTATATGTTACTGAGAGTGTGGGATTTTGAAGAGTGAGAAATTCTCATCATGCTGAATGTAACAGCTGTGCTCTAGTTGGCTGGGACAATTCTATTTCATATTTCATCATAGCTTGACAGTAAAAGTGATACTTATCTGCCTGCAAAAATGTAGAACAGTTCATCACTTCCCAGATTGCTTCCATGTTGGTGTATTAGTTCTTGTTGAGGAGCAGTAACTGCAGTTGGTAGCATGTATTTTGTAGCTTGGGATTGCTTCCTAGCAGTCCAATTTCTGTGTAGTTGTGGCCACTTCTATTGATAATAAAAATATACCAGAGAAGGGATTCAAATAAAGATATGCTGTATGGTTGTGACTCCTTAAATATGTCTCAAACCAACAGACTCTTCAGTTCAGGAGAGATGCTCTTATATGAAATATTTTAATGTTTATGTGAAACAACCATAAACCACATCTTGAAATGTCTTGTTGCAGATGCTAACTGCATTTCTGAAAGCATGAATCTATACCATTTATGCAGTATGATGAATTAAATGACTATATGCAATTAAAAAGGTGAATATGAAATTATTTTTGAACAGATACAAATCTGCTGTGTAAAAAAAACCCCAACCCTTTCTATATGAAAATGTACAGTAAATTTTGACACATAATACAGTACATGGAACCTAACTTTACATATAGTGGGAAGAAGTTGTACAAAACCCCTTCCATGGCATAGTGGTGTCTTGTCAATTTGCACAGTCATTTATGAATTCAACATTGTTAATATCCATATGTTTTCCACATGACTGATTCAATGCATAATTGAAATAAATCTGTTATTTTAAAATTCGTCCTCTACATGTATAAAGCCAGATTCATTTTCTTGGTCACTATGGCACTTTCTGTGAATTGGCCAATAAATATAATTTTAGAATTTCACATAAAAGGTAATGTTCCGTAATCTTTATTTCACCAATTATTGGGATGGTCTCATTTCCTGAACAATAACCCTTGAACATTAACACGCCTCTGGTGGCAAAGGTTAAATATCTGGTCCGTATCTGTCAGCTCTTTTGCTAATTCCTAAGGAGGAATATGCCATATGTCAAAAAACTCAGTCCAGTTCTAGAACATCTACATAACATTTCATCCTGCTGCTGAAAATAGAGAAAGGGAAGCAAGGGAAAGGGAACTTTTTGAAGAGCTGTTGGTATTTACATTTAACAGCCATCTATTTTCACGCTTCATTTTGGTGTGATCAAAGATGATAAAATATTAAAGAGAAGGATGAATATGCCATGTATTACACACATAAAATGTGAAATAGTGCAAGGGGAAAAAACATACTTTTGAGTCCCCTGCCTATGAATTGCATTAGCACATGTAAGTGATATATGAGATCTTATCACATGCAGGAATACACCTGACTGCTTCTTCCCTTCTGCTCTGTCTAAAGCTCCCCTCCTTGTTGGCTCCTCAGGTTCTTTAACATGTTACACTGATTTCATAAGATACGATCTACAAATCACAGCACAGTAAAAACTCAACATAGACACTTCATTAGCCACATGCAGTTAAGTTCCCAAATTCAGATGAGATGCAATTCAGCTCTGAGATTTTCAGAAGCGTTCATCTCCCACTTCAGAAGCCTCAGTGACAAGCAAAAGCTTAACATGAACGTCCAAATCACTGTCTCCAGCCCTTGCTGGGCTGGGCTGAACACAACAAATGCTGAAAGCAGCAGTAGACTTTGCACTACTGATTTCAGTGGCAGAGCATCCCATGGCTGGCTGGAGTTCTGGAAACTTCAAACTCTCCCCAGTTCAAAGAACACAGAAATACTTTTCCAACTGCTATTTAAATATAGTATATACAATGGATAAAGCATATACTTTGAAAATAACTTTGCCTATGCAGTCAAAAATCTGCACGTACTAAGGTCAAGTATATGCAAAATGTCATAAAGCATTATCATACTTCTCTATAAATATGCAATAGCCTAAAAAAGTCTTACAAAACACAAGTCAAAATATGTAATGACTGAGAGCAAATTAAATATGTATAAACAGATGACAGATATTGATTTTTAACATCTTATTGACCTGTTGTTATTTGGACTGCATAACAAAATCCATTTTATGTATAAGAGGAGAAATATATACCTAAGTAAATTTTTGGAGATTTGCCTCAAATAGCCTATAAAATAACTTACATTTTTTCTTCACAGATTCACAGAATCATTTAAGTTGGAAAAGACCTCAAAAGTTCATCAAGTCCCACCTTTGTCCAAGCACCACCTTGTCTATTTGTGTTTGTGTACAATTTTTGAGTTTAAAAGAATAACACAGCTGTATTATTACAGAAGTTAAGCTAATAGCATTGGGCACATCAGCTTAAGGGATTTGCCTCATAGTTCTTGATATCTACTGGTCCATGATTTAATTTTCACTGATAACGGCTTACAGGAGGAATGAATTTTACAGTAGCCAGGCCTTCATAAATCCCTTATACTCCAAATTCATATAAACATGACTTTTGTATAAAGTTCCATTTCCTCTTTACCTAAGGAGGGCCAAGAAGACATATTTAAATAATACTTCCTGCAGTCCTGAAAGGTTATCCCCTTTAGCATAACATGTGATTAAATCTGGTCATTTTCCCTCTCTAATATTAAAACTTTGTGAGGGTCTGAAACATTACTTAGGAGTAGCTGTGCTGAGCATGCCACCAGCAAGGCTGGGCCCACCATTGGCCTGCATGGCTCCAAGGCTGTTTTCTTAATAGAAAAAGAGTTTTTAAATCTAATTATCCTTCCCTCCTTAGAAAGCAATGCCTGACTGCCTTCCCTCTCCCCTCATCCTTCAGTGCAATTTAGGTTTATACTTTTTGTGTGTCATTAGTTGATAAAATAAAAGAGGAAAGAAAGAAAATTGTATCACACACTAGCCCTACTTTGCACTTGGTGATCCTTGTGGGTCCCTTCCAAACCAACTCAGCATATTCTGTGATTCTGTGAAACATTTTCTGCCAGCTTCCACACTGCTCCCTGCCCAGGTCAGCAATACTCACAGTCCTCCTGCCTCTTCTGTCACTCTCCCCAAGAAAGAAGTTACAATCTGATGCTTCTCAACAAAAATGAGACAGACTAGTAAATAAGACCACAGGCAGTTTTTAAATTTCCCTGGCTGCTTGTGCATGAAAGGACTTAGGGGAAAGCTTACCAAGGGAATCAAAGAGTGCCTTCCAGCAGCGAAGCTACTAGAGACAGCAACTTTTTCAGTGGGACTTGTGTGAATCCTACTAACTTCTCAGTCAGAAATGTCTCCTCAAATGAAACCACCACCAAAAAGGGATTTACAGATATATACGAGTGATAAAAGTTGCTGCAGGAGTTCAGAAAGAAAAATTAATCTATGTAAAAGATTCTTGTAAAACGAAATTAATACACAGCTATCTCCAAATTTCCAAATTGTAAAATGTCATGTGCTGTAAAATTTATGGCATTACAAAAAGACATTGACAGAGATGTGTGTTAGACACAAAAATTACTACAGACCCTGGAGTGAGGAAAAACAGGTATTTTTTTCTGTGTTTTAAATTAGAGGGTTCAAAATGTCTTTCTAATATGACCTTAAAAAATAAAGAAAAAACTACAACTTCCCTGAACGTAATCACGGATAAAAGGAGGAAGAAGATATTTAGGTACATTGTTGCAAACATCATCCTTAAAACAGAGTTCATGCAGAAATGTAAGCAAAACTTTTAGAAATTTACCATTTAGTGAAAGAGTGCAACAGTTCTTCTGGGATTACTAAAAATCTGTAAGCAGGGCTTTATTTTTCACCCTTTCTAGCTCTGCTACCTGCTTTTTCAAAGGAAAAGGAAAGGAAAGGAAGGATTCAGTCTACTCTTGCTATCTTTCAGTATGGTGGTCAATGAAGAGGGCAAAAACTATGGATCTGGTTTGTGAAGTTTATGTCTTCACATAAGATAGGCAGGAATGAGATGCTAGAGTTTCAGTGATGCTTTAAGCTCAGTTACATCTTCAGAACAAGAAAAGTATTTTTTTGTTAAAGAGATGGTTGGCTCAGTTTATGGAGAGGTTTGGTTGTACTGCTTCATTTTACACACATTTTTGTATCTCCTCCTTACTGTGGTACCTGAGAGCTTTCTACATTTAACTGCAGTACATTTCTGCCTCATTCTTTCTATATTTATGACAACAGGAATCACCATCTCAATTAGCTATACTATTAGCAACTCCAGCAAGAACCAAATACTCAATTAATCTCTCTGGAGATTAAATGCTTGGAAGAACCTGCCGTAGTGACATCCACAGTCTGCCTTTCTTCAAGTAAAAGAACCCCTCCCATTTCTGAACTCTTCTTCTGTGTCACTCATGAGTGATAATATTATTCAAGATAGAAACAGCCATTCTGCAGGGAATAAAAGTTTCAAGAAGGGATTGCTCCTTATCGAGCTGCTCAGCTTCGCCTCACTGCTTTCCACTGTCTGTCTGATCTTTAGCTGTTTGTTGAGGCCTGTTTAATATTTCCCTTGTAAGATTTTGGGGGTAATCTTTCCTACTGCACATTTTGTAGACTATTGCACGGAGGACACTTGGAATTCTACCTGGAATGTGACATGGCAGAGCAGACAGAGATGAGCCTCAAATATGCCAACCTAGACCTTTTTGCCTCTCATCTTCGTAAGATTCTTCATCCTCCCTTGTTCTTCACTTTTACACCTATGAAATGGATCTAAAAAAACTTTTCCAGTTATCTTTTCTACTGTATGGTGTGTGCACCCTGCCTGTGGTCAGTCCAACATAACAGCTTATATAGCAAGATGACTAACTGAATACAATTACTGCAGATCATAAATATTGCCATTACAAGCAAATCTTGTTCTCACACAGTTCATTTGCAAACTGAATCAGATTGTGACATCCAGTTGTCTAACAGTGAATAGCTCTGTCCAGAGAAAGCAGATAATTGCAGTAGTCACAATCAGGTCCTAATGAAATTCTTTATTTATACTGAATATAGTTTTCTCCTTAAATACATGACAAATATAAAAAGATATGACAATCTCTATATATTAGGTAAGTTTAATATTAAAAAAAGATATTGTTTATCTAAGACTATAAAAATCTGTGTTTTCAATAACCCTAGGATCAGACCTACAGTGGTCTAGGACTGCTCTGAACCCTCTGAACATTAAGCTGAGTATTATTAAAGTATTTCATACAATGAAATGTCTTTTTTCAGGTAAAGAAGCACTATGAATTTCCAAAAATATTTAAAGACCTAGAAATACTTTCTACCATATTATCTATTCAATTAGTCTTATGGTCCAAAATTCCACAATACATACTAGAGGCCTCAGTTTTACACAAATAAGAATTGAAAATATATAATACCGGTGGGGGATGTCTCATGATAGGACAAAATCAAGCACAGTAAGAAGCAGAGAGGCACAGGCAGAACAGCAAGAGTAGTTCTGAAATGCACAGTTCTCATAGCTTCTCCTAGCACATTATGTTTTAAAGAGCAAAATCTAAATGCTGATGCCTACTTTCACTCTGACAAGGTGATCCTCCTACAAGGACAATCCAACATCGAGGCAAGACCTCATTCCAGGGATTTCTAGATTGTGACATTTTTATTTATTTTCTTAAACCTGAAATACTTCTGAGGCAGCTAAAAGGTAAGAACTAGAGCTTACATCCAAGGATAAAGCTGT